CACAAATATTTAGCAAACTCCAGGAAATCTACTTCATACTGTCTAACACAATTGAAAAATCGTAACTTTTTATCCAATCTCTGTCTCTCTCCTTTTTTCTTTTTTTAATGTGTGATTTGTATAAAAATATGCTGCATTTCATCTTCTTAATCATGAGTGGAAACACCCTTCACACGTTCTACCGTATGATTCAGACTCTGGCACAGCCTGGCTAGTCTTAAGTCCTAACCACTTATTTGCAATGGCATTCCAGTAAAAATATTCGGGAAGAGTTACTCAGAGCAGTGTGGGAACAGTGCACAAGAACTTCATTCATCATGGCTAATTTCCTTCTCTTGGGTGATCCTTCCTGAAAGCTTTGCTGTTTGTTCCTTACAAATCATTTCACAGCTAGCTCATTTTAAACACTAAAACTCACTGACTGCTAGAACAGACATTGGATTTGGACATTCACTAGATAGTTTGCCAAACAAGGAAGAGGATCATATGATCTTAAAATATTAACACCTTCCATAATGAAGGTGGTTGGAAGAGACAGCCTAAGAGTCTCAAACTCTAATATATTAAAGGTATTTAAAAAAAAAAAATTCCTATAACTGACCTCCCAACTAGCAACACTTGCATAGTTGTATCATACACATGTATATGAGATTTTGGCAACACATTTTCAAAAGGAAAGGTCTTTTCTGCATCTTTGTTGTCCTAGTTAGGCAAAGGTCAAGCGTGCAAATGTGTAAAATCCTTTTGGATGGAAGGTTATGGTGGGGGTGGAAAGGGGATCCTAATTGGTCTCATCCAGCCGGTCTTTAAATTCTGTAACTCCCAACAGCACAGGCTGGTCCTGCCCTGCAGTTTTGTGGCCACCACCGTTACTTTGTTCATTTTACAGATCACTAGTTCTGATGTTCCAACACCTACCAAATTCGTCAATATGAACTGCACGCCACGGGGTGAGCAAATGCGTGTGCACACGCAGAACGACTCTTTGTGCTAGTCCCAAGAACACAATAAGTCTGCCTGGACAAAACTCCACAAAGACAAAATTTATACAGATGTTCTTTCCGTTTTGGTTTTCCTTTAATTTGCAAATCTTGTAATCTAAGACTGAAGTTGACTGAATCAACATCTAAACCAGTACAGTAGTATTAGCCAAAAAACACAATCTGTTTCCCATTTGTGTCAAGACTGCATCCTTTTTGGGGGCCGAGAAAACTGTTATTCTGAAAAGATTATCCAGTGAAACTGTGCTAGACATTTCAGTCACTTTACTAGATGGAAAATTTGACTTTTAAAATACCAAATTGTACATACAGAAAGCTAGTTTGAAACTCAGCTACAGGGCAAAAGTTTAGAAAACACGGATTTGGTCTTTCCTAATTGCATATTTATTATCAGGAACAAGGACTGAGATTGGTTGCAAATGTATTTTAAACAATTTTTACATAAAGCAGGTGCGAGAAATTAATTTCAAAGCAGCAGTTTCTCTCCAATGCAGTTTAGCACAAAAATAGATTCATTGCTTCAGTTCAAAGAGACTCGTGGTTAAAAAAAGAAAATTATAAATGTGTTTTTGTCTGTTCGGGATACAACCTGGGAAATTTTTCATTCCCAAATAATTTATAATGTTTTGCCCCACAAAATATAAGACTCCACAGGGGACATGAAAAAAATCACCACTTTTATGTGACAGCAAATGGGTCCTAATGCTGTCGGTTGAATTTTGTACTATGGAAGAGCAGAAATTTTGCTGTTCAAATGCACCAAATTTAGCTGGTCTCCAGGTCGGCAACAGTGGCAATTTTAGAAAGCAAACTTACCTTATTCCCTACCGATTGTGATTCCATTGAGGTTTTTTTCATTAAAAATACTAGGAACTACCAAGAATAATACATTTGAAGCATATATGAGTTGGTCACCAGATGAGTTTTTACCGCTTTGGAATAAAACATATTTTCCCTATACCTGTTGATCAGAGTACTGAGAAACAGCACCAACCTCTGAGCAGCACGTAATGAAGAACGGGATTGGAACAGAATGGGATGCAGTTACCCTCTGCACACTCAGCACTCGACAGAAACAGCACAACCAGACCCTGAGGACGTGAAGAGTTTTCCAAATATCACATTTTTCCCCCCCAAAAGCCTCACACAAAACTGAGTTATGATATGCACTGAGTCAAGCAACTACTTAAATCATTTGAAATAACCAAAAGACACTCAGACCTTCTCCAAGCAGTCACAGACTGGTTAATACCACTTTAAGAGGAAGTCTTAATTTTACAAGCACTGGAATAAAATTTGTAGAGCAGGTTCTCAACCATAATACTTAAATTTTAAGATTTCAGTATTGAGACACATGGAACAGAAGGTTAAGACCTTCACAAAGATTTTCAAAATAATAATTTTTACTAGCATAGATTATACAGACTGACTTAGGTTACACTATGAAAAAAAAAAGATACAATTCATAAACCAAGTCCTCCACAAGTTGATTTCTCAAGTTACTATGTTGTTAAATCTCTCGGAGAAATACTTTCATATATTTAGACCATATATTTAGACAAAAACCTGCAATACAATAAAACATTAGGTGATCTTGGGATTTAGCTGTTTTAATTCTAAGTTATCATAAAGATGCTGTATTAATAACAACAAAAAAATGCCATTAGTGAAAAACAAGTCCAGAGGCAAACTTCTGTTGTTGATTTTAGGCAAACATAAAATACTGCATAAAATACTTTCATACTCATCTGTACTTTATTTAAAAAAGTCCTAGCTATGTATAGGAGGGACAATGATTCATCAGTTCTTTTGCATTAAGATGCATAGTGTATTAGAGATTACTGAGTTACTTAGTATTAGTGATACTTTTGAATTAACTCACTAGCACTTGAAAACTCTTTACATTCTGTATCCAAGAATGTTTTACATTAAGAAACAAAGATCCTTCTACCATACTTTCGTCATTGTAATATATGTGTATATATACACACACATTATATATATTTTTATAGCAAAAGGAATATAGAAAAATTTCCTGATGCTGACCACTAATGCAGACTAGTGGTCAGAACCAGGATATGACAGTTCCAAGGCTGAATGTGTCAATATCTCATTGATACAGTCCCAAAGGATAAAGGACTACTAAATGCCATTATGTAACAACAGTTGCAGTAGATTTATATACAAGCTGCATTTATTATATTTATATTACTTGAATAGTTTATTATCTCTAACATTTATAGGCTGCATATGTAATTTTAATAATTAACTTTAAATTACTCGCTTTATGTATTCGAATATATCTGCATGAGTCCTTAGAACCACAAAATATACCACCACGTTGGTAAGTATAATCCCCCATCTATCATGCAGGCACATGTATGCACAGTATTAATAGCTTTTTAAAATATGTTTTGTTAAGGTCAAGGTTAGCATGTGATAATTTACAGCCTAAATCGTAATGCATGTGTTAATAACCTATTGAGGTGTTATATCATAAGTCGGATGTAAAATATATTTATCCCTCCATCCATTCCTTCCATCCAAAAAGTTAGTAATTTTAAGGCCCTTTTGAGAAGAGCTACTGAAATGGATTCTATATAAATGACTGCAGAGGAAAGACTGTTTTAAATTAGAATATTGACTCCAGATACAGCAGGGTCCAAACATGCCCTTCAATATTAAGTCACACTGCCAGTGACCAAGTTTTCCAAAACAAAACCCATGCCTATTATTTACTGATATCAAAGCAGCGTAAAAACATTTTTGGAAATGTCAAAATTGCCAGCAATCTTCCAGTAAAAGAACAGAGACAGCTGTAAAATCCCAGCGCAGCATCAAGGAACTTCATCTTACAAAGATGGGAACACTGGCCCCATGGTCCTAACCATGTCCAATATCATTCAGTTCATGATTAAAGACAATGGAGTCTAATGTAGCAGCATAATAAATAGAGTGTTGGAAGACTTCACTTCTGGGTTTGCTTTGGACTAGCTGCCCTTGAGAAAATCATTCCATCTTTTAGACATTCAAGTTTATGTTTCTGGTAATGGGAATATTTTGGTGTCAGCGCCATTTCATTTCATTAAATATTTTACCTGCCATTTCAATAAGCAGAATAGTCCTATTTCCTATCCTGCACAGTTCCATCAGTGTGCTGACAGCTGCAGTATTTCATGCCAGAGCCAACCTAATCTCCAAAGTAGGTGAGGAGATGACTGTGGAGAAAATATCGAGTGTTTTGAAATAAATGCTCTAGAGTAAATGTAGTATTTTCTTCAGTTATATGATGAAATTAGATACATCTTTTTATCTACAACCATTCAGATATATAGGAAATGCTGTTAAGCAAAACTCCGAGTTAACAGCAGGACTAAATCCATGACGGTTACTTTGACATGTTATATAAATGCTTCTTGATGAAGAACAATCATTAGAGAAACTGCACTGTAAACAAATGATCTATGAATTTATCAGAGGGAAATACAAGTGTAATATTTCAGTCAATTCACAACAATAAATAATACATATATTTTGCAACAAGAGCACCAACAGCAAACCACAACAGGAGTCCTGGGGAGAGAGAAAGCTCTCAGAGAACTCTTAACCTGAAAGTTAATGACGAAACACCATCTGCAATAGCTCTTCCAGCCAACAGCAAATGTAGAAAAGTGTTTCAAAATCTTCTGGTAAAAGATTACCACCAAAAGCAAACTGGTTCTTTATTAAATGGGAAAAAGGGAGCTTGTAGCACAGTTTGTTGTTATTAAATAATGTTCCAACCTTCAGATCTGAGCTGAAGATCTCATTTAGACAAAGTTGTCATTACATTGAGAATCATCAAGCTCAATACCTCTTCAAAACCTTCAAGAGTCCTTCAGTGAGTTACCCCATAAGGGTTAAAAAAGAGGGGCAAGGGAAAAAAGCTTTAAAGAAATTTTCTTTTTAGGGGACTTTACAGTCTCCATATAAGACCTGATTCATTAAAAGTATTCTCACCCAGAAGATCCAATGCTTTTGCACACACCAAGAAGAGGCCTCTTCTCAGAAAAATTATCACATTTCTGAGCACCTAATAAAAGGGAAAAAAAAGAACAAGAAAAAAAAAATCACTATATATTTACTGTGTTACATTTCAAGGTACATGCATGTGTATTTCAGGGAATGGGGTTGTAGAGGGAGACGCTCAATATGCCAGGAGGATATTGGCTCCGCAAGGTAAATGAAAAGAACAGCAAAATTTGGGCAGGATTTTGGCATCTTCTACTTCAAAATTTCATACAGAAATAATGACGCAGCTGCACTAAACTAACAACAGGTACAACACACAAGTCTTATTTTCACATAAGTTTCTGTTAATTATAACTCGGGTACTCGTAATTTATAACAAACACTGTTCGGCACTCTCATCTATATGAGGATAAGTCTTCCCTCCTACATGTTTGGGCATTTATAAAGTTAAACAGGTCACATCAATAATTTCACCATCAACAATAGCTTTACAAGTAATTTAAAACAGACAAATGTATTTTCTTTTTATTCCTATTCTTTCAGGGTCTTTTAAGGGTCACACCTGTACTGTATGTACTGACCTGTAAATTGATTAATGAAACATAAAAAGTCTTTTTAAGAGTCTGGCAAACAATTTGTTTTCTTCAACACGAGTAACAGATGAACTGCATTTGTTTCTGTTGGGCTGGTCTCAGCGTTAAGGTTGAAATGGCAACTAGCAGCAGTGTGGACACTGATGTAAGTGGAGCTAGGATTTTACCTTAGGTATTTAACTTAAGGAGATATTGAAGACGGGAATTCATGGGTTTCTTTATGTCTAGGTTTAAGTTTAAGAGGAGAAGGGGAAAGGAGGAGGCTATAAAGGTGTGGGCAGGAAGCAATTGCATAAAATCAGTAGGAGTCTCAGTTAATACCTACAAAACACATCTGCAAAATCTGTACTACAGGTACTTAAACTCATGGCTTCTGACTGTACTGACCAAATCCACCATTTAGAAGTCCATTATTTATTTCAAATATATATATATGTTTTAAAATACATCTATTAATGCACTAGAAACAAACAAAAAAGCATTCTGAGGACCCTGCAGGGCATTAAATCAGGTTAATAGCAGCCGTGTCCTGCCACGAGATTGCAAACAACATGTGTTGTTCTCTACAATGCTTAATGGACACAGCAACCCCTTCTAGTTCTGGGATAAAATTTAATCTTCCAAGTTATGGTGGATTAATTTTTATATTTAAAATTGTGTTTATTTGCATGTGCAATATACTGACGTTGTACACACCTGCTCCACAGTGTTTAACAAAATGCAGTAGGATGATTGAAATGAAAAACAGCTAGATAAATCCATCAAATATAAAAAGTATTGAAATCCTGTTGCAAAGTCTTTTTCTTAAACTCCTTTTATTCTAAATCCTTTTAATTCTGTCATATAACACTACAGCATTTATAAAAAGCTGAAAATCCTGACAAATCACACAATTAGAGTAATGAAAACTGCCTTTCCTGCCAACAAGGCACCTTATCTACAGCTCCATTTAGCTAAATGATATGTATGCTTAAAAAAAAAAAAAAAAAAAACACACACACACCACACTCCAGTTACTATACTTACAAACCTGAAAAAAAATCATGCCTGGGTAAAGGACATTTTATACAAAGCAACTTTACAACTTTATGAAGTCAAGAGATTATCCACATGCAAAGGCTCAAACCAGTTCATGTATTGTACTTCTGATGAGCCCGTGAACAGATCTCTCCTGAGCCTACTAAGGTCTTTCAGTAACACTAGCAGTAATAGAACATTAAGTAATACACACACTTTTTTTTGAAGAAAAAAGCCCATAAACCCATTCATTTTCATAGGAACACAAAAGTGATTAAAACAATGGAAATGGCTTGCACATCAAATAAATTCCCTTGAGTAATAAATGCACTATATAAACAACAAATTATGACCTATTTAGCAATAGCAGATAACATTCATTATGAAGTGTATTTTCTGGTATATAATTCTACTCATGGAGTTGCATCATGGCAGTCTGACAGTGCAGTGAATGTCCTGCTCGCCTAGGCCCCCTCTGATTCCTCATCTGTTTCTTGAGAGTTGTGTTGCGTTGGTAACTCTGCACCCTGCCAGCCTGGCAGCCAAACACTACCTGGTAATGCACTAAGCAACACAGCTCGCCTTCATCATGCAGGCTAAGAATTTTTCTTCTTAGAATTTTTTAATCATCCCTTCCATTTTGTGCCTGCACTGCTGTGCGTTTGTTATTGAATGGAAGTGCAAAAGAGTACTTGCTACTTGAAACAGAAGAGGTTTGAGTCAGTCCTAAAAATAGTGCGTGAATTCTTTCCTCAGCTTCAGCCTAGTATCTCTAAATGCTCCATTTCCTGCACAGATAAGCTCTAACCACATTACTCAATATCATTCCTGACCAGTGAAGCTGTGACTGCTGTCCTCATCCCAGACCTTCGTGTGCTCCTTTAGGATTAACATCCCAGCCCATCAGCGCTGCATTATTCCATCTCACTTATCTCCCAGCATCACCCAGACATTTCTAGCATCAAAGCTCCTCTCTAATGCATGCAACATCAGAGCAGTTTCCCTCATCCCCCCCAAAAGTTATCAGCCTAAAAGCTGCTTCAACTCCAGTATAATCTGTGTCTGCTGCTGGCTTCACCCTTCCCAGTGCTGAGAGGGCAAGGAAGCAAAACCACAAGAAGCAACTGCAAGAGTCAAGAGGACACAACAGGTGCTGGAGAGCAGATGTCTGCAGCCCCTGCCTGCAGGGAGCACAAGTATCTAGAGAAAACACATACAAACAAACAGGTGCAGAAGAGCTGTGGAAATTCTAAGGGTGAAGAGGCCAGGACTGGCCCTAGACAGACACACAAACTACAAGGAGATTCATTTGCTGGAGGAAGCTTTTTTTTTTTTTTTTTCCCCTTTTAAATAGACATTGAAGTAACTGGCTTTGATTTTAATGGGCAATGCAGCAATATAGGACTGAATCACTTCTGGCAGACTCCTACAGGTCCTTATACTTCGCAATGGCTTCAAACGCAGCATAAATCTCACAGATCTCTGGCTGAACACAAGGAGCCATGCACATTTATAGAAAGCCGTTTTCTTCCCCGGAACACAGTAATTTTATTCTTAGTTAATGAGGTAGTTTCTATACGAAAATGGGAAAGATTGTTAAACATCTGCTGTTGATCAGCGTTTTTGGAGTCACGCATTGAGGAAAGAAAATATTATATTTTGATTTAATCTTGTTTGAAAAACATAAAGACATGGTGCAAGTTTAAAGGCTATTGGTCTAAAACATTGATACGATGTGGCCAGCACTGAGAAGCCAGCACACAGGTCAGTCCACACCTCCTCAAAGGAATCAGTATTTTGACATGCCATACTCTGAAACCCCTCCCTATAACATCTACCACAGGCTTCCTGGCTGCACTTGGCGAGTTCTGCAGTTTCTGCAATCCACACACATTCACCTTCATTATACCGTAACAACCCACAGAACACACCAACATTTAGAGCACACCTGCACGATCCACTCACACCAACCCAAATGCAGCTCCGAGCTGCTACCCCCTGCTCAGCTTGCAGGGCTGGCTTATCTGCTGCACACCCTGCACACAGCTCAGCCTGGAGGGGCTCCGACCGCCACGCCACCCCGGCGGCTGCACGTGGACCAACCTCACATCTGCCTGCCTTAGAAAGCAACCTAAACATTACAGCTCTTTCAACTATACCTGCATATGACATTGAGTCAGCTTTTGAGGTTCTTTTTACCAAAATTAAAGAAGCAGAAGAGCACAGAGGTAAAACTGCAAAGAACTTTGACTTTTGTCTCTTGTAGGTTTCCAGAAAGAAAGCTGCTCTGTATCCCAATTAATTTTAGCTTTTCAGGTTCATTTTAGCCTTCAACTTTTAGTCTATAAAATCAATACTCCAATGGATAAACAAAAACTCTGCAATGAGCCAGCGGTTCCTGCTGGGCTATGGAAGGGATGCAGTCACATCATTTTTACTTCTCAGAATTTACAGAATGACTTGAGTAAACAAATAGAATTGCAATCACTGAAAAGGAAAATGACAAGATTCAGGTTCACATACAGAAATTGTGAAAATAAGAACCCATTTTGCATATTGCACATCATCTTTGTATGCCTGATGTATCTGAACACAGAGAAATCCAGAACCCAGCAAACCAGGCACCTGTATGCCCATAAAATAAGCACTAAATCCAATCACAGCATGCAGATTGGAGAGTGGAGAGCCCGGCGCGTTGAGAAGCTGTGCCAAGCAGATGGCTCAGCTGATAATGCAGCATGTCATGCACAAAATGCCAAGGCTTGTGCTTGGGGAGTTTGCTTTTCTTTCGACAACATCAATAGAGACGTTCTTCTATTCCGAATAACAGATATGCAACTTTATCTCCTCCCTTTGGACTGAAAATTGGTCATATAGTAAAATTTCAGTCTCCAAGAAAGCCACTTATATTCCAAACTGTAGAGAAATATCCAAGTCACCATCTACTGTAAAGACAGCAAATATTTAATTGAGATCAGAAGACATAAACTTATTTCATACTTACTTCAGGAATCATTTAAAGAGAAATACCTCATTTTTAAAGTAGATGATTGTTTACAATCATCTACTTTACATTTCCATTAAAGGTTCTTTTCTTCAGGCCAGGCCAATCAGCTGGTTATGTTCTGATGTAATCGCAACAGCAGAAGAGAGCCCTATGATGTACTTTAGCTTCAAGGGCCAAAAGCAAAAGGCACCCCAGGCTGTTCTTTTCTACGATAGCACAAGCACCACCTCGACACATTGAACACGGACAGTTTACAACTATCAGGTGCAATTTCATAGGATATTTCATAGCTCCTATTCAAGCGCAGCTAATAACTCCCTTTCAACTAGGAGCAGAGTAACAGGAGTTACTCTTGTTACCAGAATAACTAGTAACAAGAGATGTGCACAAAGGAATCCCTGTTTACCATGAATCAGTGGCCAAAAGTAATTTTCATTTTCCATGACTTGCCAAATGTCCATCTTTTCAATCATTTGTGCCCCTGTTATCTCAAGAAAGGCAATGCATGCCAGCTGTGGTAGAGGAGATGCATAAGTCACCCGGAGCAGAACATTACTGTGTAGCCATGGAAGAGACTGACTGTAAAAATTCCTCTGTACAATCACTTATTATTTAGCCTCCTCAGGGGTAATTCTCAGGGAAATCAGAGTCAGAAGTTTTCAGTAGTGGCCTCCTGCCTTTGAACCTCTCTATCAGAGTCCTGCTACACATGGCATTAGAGCTGATAGCAAACCAGAAGGCATTCGTTCTCTGCCACAAAGTTCTTCTGCTTCTTACTAGCTAGATTTCTCTCCATTTCTGATCCTAAATTTTGTGAGGGGAATACTGCAGGTTCACAGAGCATAGTAAATGCTAGATTTTAGGGGGTTACTTACAGACATCTCCCTATTATTTATGGGCATCTTATCTAGGCTGCAACTTAACTGGGCCGCAGAGACATCAAAGCACTGCTGTGCTGGGCCGGGTCAGGCCTTGCCTGGTTTATTAGCTCAGACAGAGCCCAGCGTGAGCGTAGCTGTGTGGCTGCCAGGCCAGAACAGCACCAAGAGGCATTTAACTGCTCCGGCGTGGCACGGAGCCTGCGCTAATAAACTTGTTGGATCCGAGCTGGCAGCGTGCAAGGCCAGCTCCAGGTCTCGCACCACGTTCCTGTTCCTGGGAGTGCTTATCCTGTTAAATCAGATTGGAGAAGGGCTCCTTTGCAATGAGCCTGCATGAAATAACTCTTATTAAACAATGCTTTATTATGCTACGAAGAACATGATGCAGCAGAGAATCTAACATCAAAGGCTCGCAGTATTTTAGCAAAATAGTTGACAAACTATTAAGTTGTGCTGCTGTAAAGTCACCAAGTTAAAACCATGAGCTTTCCTTTCACACCTGGGAATGAGCTTCTTATCACAAACTAAGATCAGCTTTAGGAACATGCCAAATCCATCCACCAAGAGTCCCACTTTCAACAATTCCCTTTTTACAGCTTTGCAGTAAAATAGCGTTTGAGCCTACTGATGGTAATCAGCTTCTCCTTTACAAATTCCTTTTATTTTGTTCAGAATCATTAAAGCTCATGTGTTAGTTATCTAAGGCGTCTTATTACAGCTTTACTTTTATCTGATTCCAGATACTGGTCAGTGATACATTCATGTACTTTTAATCAAAGATTTACTTAAACCAAGCCATGCAGAAAGACCAAAATATGTTTTTAAAAGGTTTGACAATTTAATATGAGCTGATTTGAATAGTTTTCTAATGTAACAAATATCATGGTCAAATGCTCCCTATAATCAGTTTTGAGAAAGAGAATAACTGCTTGAAGAAGTTCCTAAGCAGTGTAACTTACTAGATTGGCAAAAAAGGAAAAAGAAAAAGAAAACGAAAAACACACCACAAAGCACTATTTTACCATCAGAAGAAATACAGCTTGTAGGTACTTTAATTTCCTTCATAGCTATTTAGATTAATTCTCCCTTTTTCATCTGGGGGGAGATGGAAGTACAAAAACCTATTATTTAATGACACAGAAGAACAAATAGTCTGGATATGACTAACCAGAAAAAAACATTTTTATTAAAAAACTTCTATTATTTAGGAACAATGGATGGAAATACCTCTCAGGAGTGTTTTATAGCTATAAACAGCAACAATAAACATTTCCAAACTGAAGTGTTAACAAGGATGTACTGATTACTGAGCAGCGATACTTAATGCTACTACAAAGGTAGCCACAAGCTTAAGATAAAAATGGAAGAAGCATTGGAGTATGGAGCAGAGGAGAAAAACAAGTAATTGCTGTGAAAAGCTACTATGAAGTGGCAATTTAGTCAAGGCGACAGAACAGGTTGTAACGAAGATTTGCACAAACATCTGTAAAGGAGGAGTTAAGCACAGCTTTGCAGGATACAAATATATACTTACTAATTTGTGGCGCTGGTAAGATTCGTGCAGCTCGAACCGGACCATGGCGGATAGAAAAGAGCTCCTGAGCTTCACCACTGATCTGCAAAACATATGGATTATGAACAGACAATGCAAAAAATAATAAGAGCAGCACATAATAATATAACTCCTGTTCCATAGCCAAACACAGGAAAGATTGTGAAAAAGCCAATTTCTGGTTAGAAGAGGATGTGCAATAGAAGAGAATAATAAATTGGTTCCCCCACTAAGAGTTGCTTAGCCATAAAAAAGCTGCAGTTTTATTATGGCAGTTGCTGTTTTGCACCACAGGTGAGACTCTTTACAAGGTAAGCACTGAATGGAACAGATAAACTTATCTTAAAGCAGAAGTTTAGGCAGAGGCACAGTTTAGAAATATTCTTAAGTTCTTTTTCTCTCAATAAGCAAACCTCAGATAAAAGGGATATGCTAAAAATGATGTTTTTATACTACAAACTTGACTATGTGCTTTAGAAAAATAATAAAAAAAATTCTAGTAAAGAATTCAATCTAATGCATTAACAGGAAATTAACTCTGTACAAAGTGTTCTAGAATAAATGCATCTGATCTAGCACAGTGCATCCCACAGTAGCATATTGGGCTGCGTTATTCTAGTTTCTTAGCTTCCTTTTAATATGGAAACCCCATTTGTTGGGCTTTCCAGCTGGTGGTAGGGACAGACTCAGCTAAGCAGCAACACAGAGCGTGCCAGAAATAATGAAGTGTTGATACCTTCTCCACTCCCTTAATTTCCACACAAGATCAGCCAGCTTAAATCAAAATGCAACAGTATGAAACGTTTCATCTGAAAACCAAGGTAAGCATGTTTGGGTAGGGAAGACATTGCGTTTCAAGCCCGCTAGCTCCATTTTCCTCAAAATACAGAGACAAAGGTCTTGAATGACAGGAATTACAGCAACAGAGATGATCTGCCTCCCATGGCTTAGGCTTGCAGGAATGAGATGCTATACTGCTATTAATGATTCCACACCTCTTAGCAGAAAGAAGCCTCGCAGCTGACTGCTGATTAAAATCTAACAAATATTCAAGGAACTCGGGACATGCACTTGTACTATATGGCCCAAGTCTTGAGAAAAATGCTGACCAACCAGTGATTAAGAGCAGCAACCACTGGCTTTAAAAGAAAACAGAGACTGATATATTAGCACACTCCATATTCTCCAGGTGTGAGTTATGTTTCAAAATGGGAGGGTGGGGTCAGGCTAATTAAGGCTGTCAATAATGGAAATCTTGAAAAGATTAAATGAGAAGCATTTAGGAAGAATTTCCAGACTTCCTGTAAATGCTCGGTCAGGAGGCATTTTCCTAACTGCCTGGTAATGGATCTGATACGGAACGTCAAGCTTCAGGAAAGCGGCAAACATTATGTTGGCTATTTGGAAAGGGGCTTCAACTTAAAACAGATGTAACGAGCCTAAAAATGTAATCAAGGTGTTGGCATAAAGATTACAGTATCAGAAATGAACACAATTTGAAACAAGGCTCTTATGAATCCATATGTCAAAAATCTAAGTTGACTTTCTGAAATGTCATTTTATAGTTGTTCCCATTTCTAGAATATTTTGGAAACACTATTTACTGCAGGGCTAGTCCATCATTCTGTTAACAGTCAGCAAACACAGGATGTTGTGAACTGTTGCTTTTACTTATTGAGCCTAGAATAAAATTCAAGCTACATGAAGATTTGTGGCAATACCATTCTTATTCCCTTTCCTAACTTGGGCAGACAGCTCACAGCCCTCCAGTGGTATTTATCAGCATTAAAGCCAATGCTGCTATCAGAATTATTCCTAACACAAAAATCCTAGAACTGTAATCAATATGCAACGTGACCCTTTTCTCTATGCTGTTCTTGTTTTACTAGGCAGGTGTGCCAGGCATCACAGCTTCTACTCTTCCACCTAGTAGCATTTTCCAAATATCCCAGTATTGGAGTATTCCAGCTTTTGTAAAACGAGCTTAATTCCTCCTCTGGGAGGGCAATGGGCCTCTGCTCTGAAGCTTCCTGACCACATTTATACCAGACTCAAGAATGATGAGCAGAAATCCACTTGGGGGAGGTTTGCTGATTATTATTAATAGGTCAGGAGTTCGGGACACAGTTTGGGAGAAAAAAAGGCACCTAGAGGAAAATATCTGCATTCAAAAAATACAGTTTGGACAAAAGTAGAGTCTGGTTAAAAATAAAATGATGAGTGACAGGAGAAATTAAAGAGAAGAACAAAAACATGAAAACAGATTTAGTTGGCAGTAGGTTTTCTGTACATGGGAACACAGAGGCTCTATAAAAAGAGGAAGGAAGAAATGGAGAAAAAGGAAAATAAGGCTTTGAAACTTATTATTGGCAATTAAAGACTTTTTCCCTCTAAAATCATGAAAATACTGTCTCACATATGTTTATGGACATCAATGGCTATGAATGAAAACAAAAGGAAAAAGAACTAGCATAACAAAAGTATGGAAGAAGTGATTCACATAAAATAATCCAACCCAATTCAGTCACCTCCTCCTACTTTCTGAGCATGCCAGCTCTAACTCCAATCTACTTCAAATAAGCAAGAGTCCCAGCAGTAAAATATACTAAGAAGGCCAAACCTACTAACTGAGTTTCTGCTCCTAAAAATACTACACTTCAGAAAGCGTATTTATTCAGCTTGAGATGCCAAGACCTGGTGATGCCAAGACCTCAGTTTAGAGCTGAGATTTTCAAAGAAAGACCCAAAGACTTCCAAAGACAAATTAAGTTTATTTGTACTTTAGCACCTAGCACGAATCCTAGCCCAACTCTTTTCATTGATATAATGCTTTCATGTTTTACTAATTAATCCTCATCCCTTGAAAAGTAACCATTTTACCACTGGGGGGGAAGCCACAGCAAAAGAAAGGTTAAATGGATTAATGAAGGCCATAAGGTCAGACAGTGACAAAGCCAAGATTAAAAGTAGTTAGCTCTCCACTTTGTTTCAAGATGTAATGTGTCCTTTTCCCTTTAAGTTTAAAGGGGATTTTCTTTTCTCTAGGAAACTGCAAATTGTGTAGAGCTAAAAAGAAACAAAAGTGGAGAAAAAAGCAAATAATTGTTCAGAAATTCATCCATTTGTACAGTTCACTTAAAATTTGCAAAATGTAATCTGCTAAGACGTACACTCACTATTGATTTTGTAATGAAAATACAAGATGCCACCTAACCTAATTAGCCAATGAAGTCTCATTTTTAAAGAAAAAAGCCATTTCAGTAAAAAGCAAAACCAACAAAAGTTAAAGGAAAAAAAAAACCTGACGTGACACCACTAACTACATGGATCAGACTTCAATGCCAATACCATGAGCACATCATAGGTCAACACAACCACGATTTTCTTGAATCATCTATCCTTAACTGCTCTACAGAAAAAGGAAATAGCAGAAGGCATAAAATTTTGTTCCATGTCAAAACTCGGTTAGATCTTGGTTGCTTTCTTGGTTTCTGCAACACTGAAATAGGCATCACGATTCAAAATTCAAGACCTCCCTTGACTTAGAATTACCTTTTTAAAGTCTTACCACCAGCAGAAACTTCTGTTACTTGCAGTTTTCTAAAATCCTGAATTAAGTGTCCTTAATGCTAACACCCTTCCTCCAGCTATATAAAACACAAGCACTGCTGAGGCCACGTGCATCCATTTCAACCGAAAGCACCCACTTCAGGGCAGGCAGGTTATAATCTGAGCCTCCCACCAGCTCAGGCCTTATCTGGTTCCCAAGATGGCCAAAGAGGGACAATCTTGGCTTCAAATAGGACGCTTATTCTGCTGGAATTGAAGCTGGAAATGATGACATTTACCAGAAGGCAAAGCCCAGCGCTAACCGGCCAACAACTCGGCCAGTGCCAGCTTGGGCGAGATGCAGCCTGGCGAGTGTACGGGGAAAGGCTCCACATCCCATTACTAGTCCCTTGAGCTGCCCTGTCTCGTAAGCAGAGACAAAATATAAATAGACTTCACAAACCGAAAACAGAGCTTTAAATTCTTCAAAAAGCACCTGTGAACAAACGAGGCTGTGGCTGCCATTTTGGACTGGATCCAGCTAAGTAGCAAGTCCCTGTGGCAGCTTTCAAAGCTCTTAAAAGTTTCTCCTTCCCATTCCACAAGCCAAGAAAATTTCCAAACAGGTTTCAAGAATTGGATATTAAGCTGTAAAAGCAGCTTCAGGTACTCATTGCGCGAGCGAGCGAATGCGAGGTGACGGCTCCAAGCTGGCCCGGCGGCGCAGGCCGGACCTCCGCGGCGCGCGGCCACGGAGAGGAAGATGGCGCTCCTCTGCCTTGCCCTTCGGGCCGCTCTTTAAGCGCGACACACCAGAAAGCTGGAGCGCCATTTAATTTTTGATGACAGAGCTTTATTGTTTGGAGAGTGCCAGTTTACACCCATGAAGAAAACAGAACAAAGAAAGTTTTCTTCATGAGAAAGATAACTAATAGTTTCCAACCATAGAAAATGGTTTTCACATGGTGGGAAGAAAAATAAAAAGTCAAATGTGCACCAAACTGCAAAGTCTTCAACATAGTGCTTAACTACAGTGCCACTGCATGAACGCAAACTCTTGCTATATTTAAAGAAATTGCTATACTTAAAAACTGTCACAAAGCACAGTGATGATTAGATAAGGGTTGTTTTCAATTCTGAATATATATTTTAAATACGGCAACAGGCTAACAGGCATCCCTGATGAACCAAAACACCAGATACCACAACAAAATACTGTTTGAGACAATCCCATGGGGTAGAGGCTGCCAGCACTCTCCTCACTACTGGGGGAAGAGAGAGAAGGACTCTTAGGCCAAAGGACAATTCCCAAGACTTCAGTTTAGAAATTCAAGTAGCTTTTTACATTGAAAAAAATCCCTCCCTAATTATCTAGACATAGTAAGAATTTAAAAAGTCCACTCTGGAGGCTGAGAATTAGGTAAGAATTTAAATTCTCAAAGAGTGTTACAAAAGTCCACTCTGGAGGCTGAGAATTATGACAACACAAATTGAATTAAAACAAACAAACAAAACACAATGAAAACTTAGTAATGTTAGTAATGTTTTTGCATAATTTCTTCAATGTTAGTTAGCATTTTACTTGTTAGCATGCCTTGAAGATCTTTCATGTCCAGTCCACAAGCTACCTATAAAATCTGAGGATATTTCTGCATTCATTTTAAGTGTTACTGTACAAATAAAAATAAAGTGGGCAATATCAAAGCAGCACAAATACCCCTCCAGGTTCTGCATTTTGGCTTTATCCCCATCCAAGGGGAGCCACATGCAGTTCCTTTAGACTCTCCTGACACCTCTTACTAGAGTCTGCCAAACATTCCACCTATTTGATAAATAACAAGTCCTTTTCCCAGCTTTAAAAAGGGAAGGAATAGGAAAGGGACTGAGGCTACACTAAAACTCTAGCACAGAGGGCTTTCAATGAACAGTGATGGAGGCAAAAATGGACGTGGCGTGTCTGACCTGCTATTACACAACCATCTACACATCCACACACCATCTGCTGTGCAAATGCAGTTCTACCAAATTAAAAATCATAGCGTTATTGACACCAGTATTTAAATAACTTCAAGTTCTGACAGAGAAAGAACAGCAGGGTGGGATGCCGCCCTTGTGCAACTATTCCATCCCATTCCAGAAGTCTCTCCAGCACAAATCACCTACCATACAGGCTGGGATACCCCATCCGTCTGTGGCAGCACCAAACCACGGCCTTTACAGACTTTTTTTTTTTTTAATTAGATATACAGTTGAGCTTGCTAAGAGTTCCCTCTGCTAGTTCCTACTTGACTAAACTTAAGCTTGATAGCTTTTTTTGCTTGTGTCCAGGAAGGTTCAGAATTAGAAATTATATTAATTGTTCATGCTTCAATTAAAAAAAGAGCTATCGGGCACAAACCCAGCCAACACGCATTTCTGTGAACACGGACATCCAGAACAGATACTTGGAAACCACATTAGGAAGAAACTATCTCCAACTGGGTTTGAAACACAAGCTTAGGAACAAGGGAAAAACAAATTCCAAACAAAACATAAAATTACATTGCACAATTATCAAATAGGAACTTTTAGTTCATCCTTTCGGATATTCCCAGATTTCTCCCCACTTAGTGGGACACATTTTAAGAACACTTTTAACCTTCCCAGCCCCATTTCAAAACACAGATCAAAGCCCGGGCGTTTGGATGGACACCTTCCGCTTCTTATGCGATACAGATTTAGACACTGCACTTCAAACCCCAGCTGTTACTTCAGCACCCAGCAGTCCAAACATTATTTCAGCCCTTTGAAGCAGCTCTAATGGTATCTTCCATTTGCAAGTAACACTTCTGTAGTCAAAGATCTTACTCCAAGGAGATGTTAATGTGAAAGCACTCAGACTGCAACGAGACACACACTCCTGGAGGCAGACTGCAAAGGTGTTTAGAAGTCAATGTAACACCATTACGGAGAGTGTCAGCTTAGAAGCTGTCATAAACACTTCATAATCACTCAGACACAAACTGGGCTGCCTGCAACACATTATTTTATTAAGTGCTGAATAGAGGTTCAATTGTATGAATAAAAAGCACAATGCTGCAGATAATAGCCTTACTGAGTAGATTTTCACATAAATATCATATTGTTACTTTTTCACATTGAAAGTTTTCTAAACTAGAGATCCGTTTTTTCTAAATAAGTGGAGTAATGTTACACAATTCTAGCCTAAACTCTCAACAAGATCTAGCAGAAATGATGTTTGTATAATACCAAAGAATAAAAAAAAAGTTCCCAAATAAATTCTAAAAATAAAGTCAGTGACAGACTCACTAGGTTTTAAGTTAGTCTGAGTAAGTAAGCAAAAAAATGAGATGCAAAAACAAAAAGGTGGAAAAAACCCACAAAAGTTACATTGTCCCCTAATTTGTTAAATATACAGATCCTGCTCTGGAAAGATATTTCAAAGAAAATGTCAGATTGATAGTCTTTTTATCCGAGATGGTGTTACTAACAAAGGAATTCTTCCAACAATGAAATTTTGTTAACACACACAAAGTGCATTATTGCACAGCGTGAAGCTACGTCCTTTTGGATGTGGCCCTCGATTTCACAGGATATATGAAAGAGGAGCTGACAGAGGGATGCAACAGCCCTGCCGCTGGCATTCTCAAGATGGATGGTGCAACAGTTGGCATTTCCTTCCTTCTTACTGGGCATTTTTCCACATCAAAAACACCTTCACAGAACTGAACTACACGAAGAGAAAGTGTTTGGTTTCATTTTTCTTATTTTTACTAAAATATTGAAATACTGTGAAAAACTCGAAATTATGAAGTATTGCTATCCCCTAGGGGGAAGAAATCTGGCTGTCTTACCATGTCGAAAAAGAAGCACATAATAATAATAACAATAACCCCCCCACACACACACACAAAATGCAAACTAACAAAAAATACACTCCACACATTTACTCTACACCCAGTAAAGCTGTTTATTCCTTATTCGTTGAGTAAGCTCCATTACATTATTTCATTTTACTGCAGTGCATGGGGTAAAAATGTAAGTAAAGTCAAGACAGTTCAATTTACACTGAGGTAACTGTTCCTGTACCAAAGAACTGTAATAT